AAATATTTGTGAACCGAAGGCCTCCAAAATAACTAGTATTTCTTACTTTCTCAATGCTAAGTATCTTTAGCAGGTTTTATAAGTGGGAGTATCATGATTATGCTCGCCTTTGTAGGTTGTTATTGCTTTTGGATCAATTGAAGCCCTCATGACTTGTTTGCGTGCTTTGCATTTAGAATATGTGCACCGATAATAATCCCTGTATATCATGTTGGAAGCACAAGGGGATAAGTCAAATAAGCGAACAGTTCAAGGAAAGACACATGTTTTAAAAATGTTCAACAGTAACAAGTGAAATCATATGCTAGAGAGGACAAAGAACTAGCAGGTGCTTAAACAAGATATTGCGGTTCATAGTAGCACCTAATTCTAATCTCCAAAAGATCTTATAAAACTTGTTTGTTCTATCGGATGCATATACAAGGATTTCTAAATTCTGCCACATGCTTTCGCATAAAAATTCATACATCCAGTACTATCTGTTTCGTACAGAAACTTGTCGGTGTTAATTTTTCCTTTGGTGACTCTAGCCACGTAATACACTTAGGATTCAAGAGCGCTAAATCTCGACTCTACACCATTAAATTTACATGTGATGGTATTTTCACAGAATACAAAATAAAACAAACATATTCTCCAGAACAGGGCAAAGGAATTTTTCCACTGCCCTATCCTATAGTGTATGGCATAATCCTGTAACCAGACAGCAGATTATCTTTCATTGACCAATATGTTTCAACAACAAACTCTGACAGGCCAAGTTAATAATCACAAAATCCAATATTGAAATATTACCATCAAATTCTTCAAGTTCAAAATTAAAATAGCATCCTGAGGCAAATCAGATGGGCTTCTTACAACCAGGATCCACTTTCTTATTAATTCCATCTGAACCACACTTACATTTTCTATTTCTTGATGCCGACCAGATTTATCTGGATAAGAGTTTGTCATAGCAACTAGGACAAGCGAAAAAAGAAAAGAGAAACAAGCAAAAGCAAAGAATTAGATTAGAAGAGACAGTGCCCCGCCCTTTTCCTGTGAGTTATCATCCCATGTCATAAACATGAGCTCAAGAACCAAGAAATCTAGTTTGGTGATCAGGAAGCAAACCTAACCTTTGGGCTACCAGGACTGTCTTAGCCCAGACATCATTAAAAACAGCACATAATGTTAACAAGCATCAAATCTAGGAATTCAAAAAAATTGATGATCCACAACTTCAAAGAGAACTATATTTACAGCATCCCTTTAGTATGTTTTGAAAAAGGATTGTCCTATAACTTGCCCCCACAGATCCAATGTGTTCATATTATTAGCGTTATGCTGAAATAATTCATGACGCAATGTAAAAATTCGAAGCACTATTCAGTAATATTATACATCAGAGCCAGAAAACATGGTCTGATTGATTGCAAGTGACGTTCTTAACTGCAGGGTGGAAGTTTTATCTTCTGTCAGACTTCGTACTATATCTATTTCAGAACTAGTTTGTAAAATCCTGATAGACAAATTATAAACTATGTGTTTTGGCATATTAGAAAATGACAAGGAGATAAACTAGCATATGGACATTTACCAAAATACATGATGCAAGCACACGCAAGTTCTTTAGTATAATAAAACATTACACAAAATAAATTTCATAAAGAACAGCAACTAACATTATATTGAAGAAAATCTAGCAGTCGAAGATATATAAGTACCTTAGGTGCTGATTTCCCTTTACCACCTTCTGCCCATATTTTCGCCAATTGTACCCGTCATTTACGACAACAACTTCACTTCTCGTCGGCAGAACAATCTTGGGCCCAGCTACTGTGCCATGTGATGAAGCTAGTGTCTTAACTGCCTTCTTCCTGCGTCACAGTAACTGAATTAGGCACCTACTTTTGTTGCTCTACAGTTTCTGGCATTAATTGCTCATGAAAGGAGGACTCACTTTCTCTTCACATCTGGTTCATCATGTCCCTCATCTACTTCTATCCAATTGTTTTTGGTTTCATCACGTTTTCTTTTCACAAGAAGTAGAGATGCCAATTGGGTTGAAATCTGGTCAGGACGAGAAGGGGAAGACACATCTGAGCTATTCACTACTGTCCTATCATGCATGCGAATGTCAGGCCGAACTTCCGAGCAGTCTGTACCATTCAAAGCAGAACCATCCTTTCTTTGCTTGCTTGGTTGAGGAAGTTCATGGTTGTGCCGGCCATTATGTGTGATCTGAGTTATGTGACCATCAATGGATCGCTCAACCTTCTTCTTCGCTGGACATTTGATATGTGTGCACTTATAGTAGCTCCGAGGGCATTGACTGGCCTTATCCTTCTTCTGGCCATATTTTCTCCAGTTATAACCATCACAAGCTGGTTTATCGAGAGCACCAAAGGATGTCATGATCTCAGATTGAGAAACCTCCGGCAGTTCAAACTGCTTACTGTGCTTTCTGACGGTTTGTCATCCAACCTTGTTTGCAGAGGTTCCTTTACCTGCAAAGAAGATTCCTTTGGATCAGTCGACAACTCATGTCCTAATGCTTCTGCTGAAGCCACCTGAGAGGAACACTGATCTTCGGCTTGCATGTGCATGTAAGAACTAGAGAATGCAAGCTTTGCTGTAACATGTGCTAGAGCCTGCTGGTGTCACGTTCCATAGGGACACTGCAAAGCCTTGAAATATCATAAGTAACAACATGATGCCAATGTAATTAGATGACATTTAGTTAACTATTTCTATAACGAACCATTGGGTGCATCGTAATTCATAGACTATTTATGTAGGAATAGTCTCTTCTAACAATGGAAAAGCGCAAAACTGGGACGTCCCAAAATTTAGGTGTCGAACAGTGAAGAAAATTTTGCTAGGAATCTAAAAAAAATTCTCCCATTTTTTTTGGATATATGGGTGATGGTGAGATTTGAACTCAAGATCTTTGTCTGCTCTAAGACTTGATGATGGACATCATCAATCTCCCCCTCCAGTCTCATTCATCTAGAGGAGGTAGCACTGTCTTCTAGTTTGAGTGCATGCCGACAAGTTCTTTGCATAGCTCGAACTTGTTCCTTGGTACCACCTTGGTCAGCATATCTGCGGGATTCTCACTTGTAGAAATCTTCAAGACTTTTAGAGATTCATCATCTACCATTTCTCGAATCCAATGATATCTCACATCAATGTGTTTGGTCCTTGCATGGTACATAGAGTTCTTGCTAAGGTCTATTGCACTTTGACTGTCACAATAGACGACATACTCCTTCTGATGCAATCCAAGCTCTTGAAGGAATCGCTTGAGCCGTATCATCTCTTTGCCAGTTTCTGTAGCGGCAATATACTCTGCTTCAGTTGTTGAAAGTGCAACGCACTTCTGCAACTTAGACTGCCATGATATAGCTCCCCCTGAAAATATAAACAAATATCCAGTAGTGAATTTT